AATAAAAAAATATAATTAGAACTCCGTCTATGTGAACATTACTCAATTGAAAAGCATTAATATCATGCTTGATGTAAGTCTCTCTTTTCAATAAATAAATAAATAAATAAAAGACCTTCCCCATTGATTAGAACGAAGTCTTTATGCCCCAAAATATTCAACCTCACTGTCCCTTCACATTCTAACAAAATCTGAGCCATCTGTATCACTACCACTCAGCACCATAGCAGTCCATAGAGTGGTCACGAATTAACTGTACTACCTCTCAAACCCCGGGGCAGATCTACAACCGAACCCCAACACCCCCTCCCTAAAATTGTTTATATATCCCAAAAAATGTATATATATATAATTATATACTAAGATGATGTAATAAAACGTAATAGCATCAGTTGGATCAACGTGCATGTGGCTTATTCTATCAAATATTTTCGCACAATGGTGGTGTTTGGAAACTTGGGTTTTGGATTTTTTTTTGATATTTTTCACTGAAAGATAAAATTTTTGCAAAATCAAAAAAAAATACATTCAAATAAAATATCACATCCAATCCTATAATCATTTCACTTTTTTTTCTCACAAATATCATATCCAACCATAAAAAAACCCAACTATCTTCCAAAATATAAAAAAAAATTTCTCCAATAATATCCTACAACTAAAAAAACCTACATAAAAACCCACTTGTCAAACACCCACAATCATTTACAGTTGTGATACAAAATATGAGTCTACCTTGTAAATTTTATGCATACGTGGGGTCTGACATTTTTAGAGTACCTCCATTCAATATTTTAAATTTGATACGACATTTTAATAGTCATATTTTAATATCAAGTATCAATTTCATCCGGTGTGTCAAAGGAAAAAATTAATGTAACTTTGGGCATCACTCCTTCATGCCAGGGAGCGGGGTCACTGCTGTGCCCCCTCCTTGCTGTGTTGCTGCTGTGCCGTAAAACGGCACTGTTTGATTTTTTTTTCCTTCTTAAAATTTATGTTTTTTATTTTAGGGTTTATTATTTGATTTTTAAAATTTATTTATTTTTTATTTTAGGGTTTAGGGATAAATTTTTTTTTTTATTATTTTAGGGGTTAGGGTTTAATTCTTAATTTTTTTTTTTATTTTTAATTTTAGGGTTTAGAGGTTAGGGTTTAATTTTTAAAATTTATTTTTTTTCTTGTTTTAGGGTTTAGGATTTAGGGTTTAATTCTTAAAATTTATTTATTTTTTATTTTAGGGTTTAGGTTTAATTTTTAATTTTTTTTTTATTTTAGAGTTTAGGTTTAATTTTTAATTTTTTTTATTTTAGGGTTTAGGGTTTAATTCTTAAAATTTATTTATTTATTTATTTATTTTAGGGTTTAGGATTTAGGGTTTAATTTTTAAAATTTATTTTTTTTTATTTTAGGGTTTAGAGTTTAGAGTTTAGGTTTAATTCTTAATTTTTTTTTTTAATATTTTAGAGTTTAAAAAAAACATAGTGACAACATGAGAAAAAAAAAAATTGGTGAAACTGTGCCGTTTTACGGCACAGCAGGAACAGCAGGGAGGGGGGCACAACAGGACCCTCTATCCTTCATGCCAATTTTGACATTAAGTCATCTTGATGTTTTCTTCTTCTTCTTCTTCTTCTTTTTTTCTTTTGTCTTCAATTAAAGCATCCAACGGCACAATTTGTGATAAATTGTAGTTGTCAATCAACCTGCATCATGTCATGGCTTTTCTTTATTTTATTTTATTTTATTTTAACCAACGGTAGTATTTTTTGAAAATGGTAATTATTCTGTTTGGTTTCAGTTTTTAAAATTCACTTTTCAAAAAATTTTACTTTGTCATTTTTCATATATTTTTTTGTTTTCACTAAATTTTTTAACATTTTAAGCATTTGTTTTTATTTTTATACACACCTAATATAAATACACTTAAAAAGTATAATATTTGTGAAAAAAATCTTTAAAAAATCACTAAATATCAAAAATATAAAAAAATACAAAAATTCAGTATATTTTTCGTATTTTTGTATATTTATTAATTTTTAAAATATTTTTTCACAAATATTTTATTGTTTAGATACATCTAAGTAAGGTGCATAGAAAAAAAAAGTTAAAAAAAATTCTTAAAATTAAAAAATATTCAATAAAAAAAAAACACGAAAAATAGATACTTGAATTACAGAAAACTGAAATCAAACACATTGAATATTTTTTTAAGTAATAATGAATAAAATTTTTGAATTTTGTCAATAAAAATAATTTTATAAATATAGCACTTTTTTAAAAATATAAAATACTATTTAAATGGCATCAAACCTCTTTTAAAAATAAATTTATTTTAATTAGTATAATAAAAGACTTCAAATTTAAAAAATAATATAATAATAGATTTGTCATATTAGGCGGAGAGTTTCTATGTCAAATTGGAATGTCAATTTGCCGCCTAAGCTTTCAAAAAAAACTTGACATACCAAATTTTAAAAGTTTAGGTGGAGATGCTCTTATGTCTCATTCTGTAAAATTTTTCTATGCTCTTACTATGGCTTCTATGTTCTTAAAATTTTTTTATGTTCTTACTATGGCCTCTATTTTTCTATGTTCTTGGAGATGCTCTAATGAGAGTGTTTGGTAGAGCCGTGGAAAAGTGCTTATAGCTTATGCCTCAACAGCTTATAGTTTATAACTTTCAGCTTATTCTTAAAGCATCTCCTGCCCCACTCAAAGAATAAACTGATTTCTGATTTCCAAAAAGGTATAAGCTATAAGTTATAAGTTAAACTAAACACATCAAAATAGTTTAAATTAAGCTGAAAGTTGAAATAAGCTGTAATTAAGCTCTGCCAAACAGGCACAATGTCTCGTTCTATAAAATTTAACTTATTAGCTCTTCGGCTTTTTTAAGTCATATCACTTATCTATTTTTCTGTATTTTTAAAAAAAAAAAAATCAAAAAAGCCAAAAAGCTAGCTTACTAACATAATTTGTTGAGAAAATTTCGCTAATGGTCCTTAAATTTTGTCTTTTGTTTCATTTTATTCTTCTACACTTTTAATTGTCTCAATTTTAACCTTTAATTTTACATTTTGTGTCAATTTCGTTCAATTGATAATACAATTAGCATTTTTAACAAAAAATTATCACCAAAATGATTAAGGTTAACTCACTAAGTTGAGCAAGTTTATAATTTTACCGTAAAAACATGATATATGCCACTTATGTGCTTATTTTTCATTAAAAATGGTAACAATTGTAATCAATTGTACTAAACAAAATTATAAATTTAGGATAAAAATCAAACCACTAAAAATTACAGGAATCAAAATAATGCAATAACCAAAATACAGAAACTATGGGCAAAATTTGCACGAATTTGTTTTTTAGCTATGCTAGGAACCCAGAAAACTTATTCATAACGTAAGAATATTCAGAAAGGACAATGAATACGTCAGCAAAAAATAGAACATTATTAATCATAAAAGCAGATACAAAGGACAAGTTTTGGGGAAAAAAAGCATCATTGTCAAACCTCACATCCCAACTAAGTTGGTGCTCCAAGAGCAACCAATCCTGTGTGGACCCAAACCAAAGAACAAAAAACTAAGTTGGTGCTCCAAGAGCAACCAATCCTGTGTAGACCCAAAGCAAAGAACAAAAGATAGGAGAGGTTCCACTACAAGAAGGGAAAAAAAACAGAACAAAGCAAAACAGGAGCAAAACCAGCAACGCCAGCTCGAAAACGTGGAATTGACTATATAATAGTTAGATCTAAATAATACATCCATTTTCTGGTTAACTTTTGAGTTATTTTTCTTGGCTAGTAGGCATTGTTTTTGTTTGTTTTTTGTATGCAAGTGCCAAGTGGGTGAGGTGAGGTTGCTGTAGTCGAGTTGTATTCTGCAGAAGCAGAATTCTGATCTTTTGTACCTTCTTCATTTTATCAATAATTTTCTTCTTTTATTTATTTATTTATTTTTTGTTGCTGTTAAGAAAAAACTATAAATTTTGAAAGTGTTAAATATATTGTTGATCCTCAAAATATGCCATTTGTTTAATTTTAGTCTATGATATTTCAATTATGTAAATTTAATTTTGAATTTCTCCAATTTGTCTATATATAGTGTCTGGCACTGTTTCTGTTCAATTTTCTATAAATTTTTTTTTTTCAAATTTAAATAAAAATACCCTTATTTCCATTATAAAATTTTCACTAGAATCTAGAAGTCCACCTCATACAAACTAGAGCAAGTACCCAAAAAAAAAAAAAAAAAAAACCCACTAAAATCATATCCAATGATCAATTTAAACCAGAATGACTACTTATATAATTATTGAATCTAGATATTTTCCTTTCACCAAGGGAACAAAAATGTTAGGAGCTTAACTAGCAATCATCTGGGAAAAAGGAACAAAAAAACAACTACTAGCAATCATCTATCTATTTATTGAGGTTAAGGCCTAGCCTCATGAATGGAATGAGCCAAACAAAATGTTAGGTCATTATCATTTTTAATATGAATCAAACACAAACTGTTTTATGACTTCAAAGTGGTCCTTCAACAAAAGCAGATTCTTCAAACCTATTTGACTAATACACCATTGATAGGTTAGAGGCGACCCTTCAAGAACCACAATAACTATCTACCTCAAAATAATATCTAAAATTTAAAATTTAAATGTATGGGATAAATTTAAAATTTATGTGGTGTGAGATACAAATAAAACGAATTTGATTAACACATTTTAAATTTTGAAGAAAAATGACTTGCAAATAGAAAGTTTATACAAAAAATATATCCAAAATGATACATTAATGATATTTTTCAAATTATGAAGACAGTGATAAATGTTTTAATTAAAAATATAGAAATCAAAACAAGTCATTTTATTCTGTATCAAAATTTTGCTTATATATCAATGCTCATTTAGAACATTTTCTAAATATTTTATTTCCGAATATGTAATATTGTTATTCAAAAAAGGGCATCAACAAGGTTATAAAATGATGCATTATGTCCTCCTCCTAAGCAAGCTTCTCAACGTTCAAGGGGATACAAGGCTCTCTCTTCTTTTTTCTTCTCTTCTCTTCTCTCTCTCTCTCTCTCTCTCTCTCTCTCTCTCTCTCACACACACACACACACACACACACACACGATCAAAATTTTGCTTATATATCAATGCTCATTTAGAACATTTTCTAAATATTTTATTTCCGAATATGTAATATTGTCATTCAAAAAAGGGAATCAACAAGGTTATAAAATGATGCATTGTGTCCTCCTAAGCAAGCTTCTCAACCTTCAAGGGGATACAAGGCTCTGTCTTCTTTTTTCTTCTCTTGTCTTCTCTTCTCTCTCTCTCTCTCTCTCTCTCTCTCACACACACACGCACACACACACACACACACACACACACACACACTGAAAATGGATGTGGCACTAGGGTCAATTGTGGTCTCCTTTGCTGTGATTGCATTGGTGATGTGGGCATGGAGGGTACTGAACTGGTTGTGGTTGAAACCAAAAAGACTAGAGAGGTGCCTCAGAGAGCAAGGTCTCAGTGGAAATCCTTACAGGGTTTTTTATGGAGACATGAAAGAGATGAGAATGATAGTGAAAGAAGCAAAATCTAGACCTATCAACTTGTCTGATGATATTCTTCCAAGAGCCATGCCATTCCATCATCATATTATCAAGAAATATGGTAAGTTACTCTCCTTCCCCTTTTTTGATAGAGCAAAATGCATTACACTGGATAAGGAAAATGTTTGAGCTTTTCATAAATTTTTCATAATTCAATCTATAATGATGTGATTTGACAAGTATGAGTTTTTGATTGGTTACAAATTCAATAATATGGGACCCACCACTCTTCCTACATCATTGTGGGTATATTTGTGGATGCAAAATTTGGGTCTCTAGCATTGTTGGTGGAATAATTACGGAAAGCTTTATGACTAAACTTATTTATTTAAATAAAAATTTCATTAAAAACATTAAATTAAAGGTCTAAAGAAATAGAATAGATTAAGAAGGATTCAGAGGTTGTGAATTCCCTCATTACTATTGCTTGTATCCGCACAACTAACCGCTCAACTTCACGAGTTTTTAAAATTTTAATAGAACCAAAAAAATAAAAAATAAATAAATAACAATAGCTAAGAAGCTCTTGACTACAAAACACCAAAAAATTTAAACTCCATACTATTTACTTATAAGTCTTGAGTAACTTTTTTTTATACGAATTTGTCCCTTATTTTGATAATGAGAAAATTTTGTTGTTTTTAGATGTATATTTTGTGTTTGTCAAATAATTATTCGATACTAGTAATGATACTAAAAATTTTATCAAAGTGATAAATGATTAAAAAAATTTAGTTTTTTTGGCAAGTTTGGATTTATTTTTAGGTTATTTGTATTAGTTTGTATTGAAATATGATATGAAATATATAAATAGTTGAATTGTATTTTTTAAAGATATTTTTATAGTGATAAATGTATCATTGAAAATTATAGCAAAAACTTATTGGTAATAAGTTTAGTCTATGAGACATTGAGACTGACTTGTAACTGCTCCTTACGTTTACGTGTAATTAGGGTTGCAATTTGGGAAGATTAAGTCAAGTTAAGAGTCTATCAAAGTTTAGTCTAAAGTTTATCCAAAGTCCTAGCTCAACCTCTCCACAAATTTGTTCGTGTAAGTCTGAATCTGAGTTTATCTCAAAGACTTTGGACTAATTTAAATAATAGATTTGTAGTAATGCTGTCTAATTTAGTTCAAGTTTTAACCCATTTAGATTGTTCTTTCATCATCAAAATAAATTTTTTATAAATGAATAATACAGTACAAGCACTATAACAAAATTACACTAATTTAAAAAAAAAAGAAAAAAAAGAATATAAGCACCAATGTTTAAAACACACATTCTAAATTAGGTTTGCACATACATTAGCCAATCAAATGCAAATCCCAAGCCAAGCCATTAACATTAAGTTTAACTATTATATACCATGTTTTATTTATAATATGATGTGATGTACTTAGATCATAAGTTCATTTACAGTGTTACTCATACGGCATGTTTGATTGGGTGGATTGGAGCATGGGATTGGGATTATTAATTCGTGGGCCCAATTATCCTATGTTTGTTTTAACATTTTGATTTAGGATTAATAATCCAATGGATAATTAATCCAACAAATTTGTAGGATTATTAGTAATGGGGTAGGGGTGGGATTATTAATCCAATGGATATTAATCCAATTGGATAGTGAATACCACACTAATTTAATAGGATTATTAATACTTCACTATTAGTGTTGTGAATCAAACATGACCATATTGTGTTGTTGTTGTTGGTGGTTTTATTTTATTTAATTTTTTTGTGGAGGTAACAATTTTTGTCACAAAGAAAGGAAAAATGATAACCATAGTTTTAGAAAGATTTATTATTTTAGATAATTGCCATTAGCTTTTGAATTCCACTAAAACAATGAAAGTGAAAAGCGAGAATAACGAAAGGGGAAGAGCATGAGAATAGCTCATGATTTGATGTGTGCATGTTTGTCCCACCCATGCCTATCATTAATTATTCTAACAATAAATTGGTACACTATTATATTGTTGTGTGGTTGATTAAGCAAATTTTACTTTTTAACAAAATTTGGATTTGTCTACAACTTTTTATAATCCTAGAATATTTTAATTTTTTTTTTCACTAAAAGTGCTAGCTTTGTTGAAGATGCTTGAATTTCTGGTTTCCTGTATTGTCTAAAGCTTACCACTTCTCCTTAATCCCACATTGATTTCTTATTAAAAATCTCCACGTATTTTGAGTTCATTTAAGAAGTTAATTATTTTAGTTGATCTTTTAGTTTTTTGGTGATTTTATGTCTCATTTAGAAATATGCTATTTTAGAAATTTTTTGACTTTTTATGAAAATATGTATAAAAGTATAGAAAGAGTGATGTGATAACTTATAGTGACTTTTTGACTAAAATATATAGTTCACAAACAAGACCCAAGATGACTTAAAAAGTTGTATTTTGAAAGTTAGATGATTTTTTTATATAATTGATTTGATAGTTGTGAGAAATAAAAAATGAAATAATTATGATTTAGACGTAATATTTTATTTTATTAACTATTTTAACAAATTTTATTTTTGTTGATTATTTTAACCAAAAAAATCATCAAACTCACTTCCCAAACAACCCCAACCCTTCTCAGCAATGGGCAAGGGCAATGGAGTCTTAACCATATTTTTTCTTTAAGTTGTGGTTTTAATTAAGGGAAAGTTATTACAAATTCAGAAGAAGAAAAAAGTATAATTATAATTATAATTTTGATTTTGATTATTATTATTTTTAATAACAGGATATTACGATCTAAAACCATTAGTCCAAATAAATTTATTAAAGTTTAGTGAGTATTGAAATTGACACCTGAGTCCGGGATCACTGGCCTAAAGAAACTTATTAAGATTAATAAGTATTGAACTCAAGATCTGAAGGGAGCCCATAGGTTTCAAGTTGTGTCCACTTAGCCATCCCTTGATTACATTACACTTAAAACACCAATTTTATCCTTTATTTTTAATAATTTAAGAAAAACAAAACAAATATATATATACAATTATGATAGAGACCCTCACACATATATGACCCTCACAACTCTCACTCTCATTCCAACCACTCATAATGTGGAGCACACACACATGAATAGACACCACACTCATCAAGAATTAAAATCAAATTAGGGGTTATGGAACCAAAGCAAGGATCCCCTCCTTGACTCCCCTACTTGATGGGCCATTGAGTTCACTTTTGGACCCAATTTCGATAATTCGAACCGTTCACATTTTAAAATGTCATGTATATCATGTTTGTAAAAAATCAAGTCGATCAAAAAGTTTATTAAATTTTGTCACGTGATCTAAAAGTTTTATTAAACAATAAAAACTGTTTATTAAATTTTTTTATAATAAACAGTTTTTAGTTCTTCCGATATTCAATCAATTTGATTTTTTATAGGTATGATGTATATGACAAATTCTAAAATATTAATGGTTCGGATCATCGAAATTGGGCCCAAAAGTGAATCCAATGTCCCATCAAGCAGGGAGTCAAGTAGGAGAGTCAAGGAGAGGATCCTTGAACCCCCAAAAAAGGTCCAAAACATTTCTCATATATATATATATATATATATATTTCCAACTCTTTTCTAACTCTCTCTGTCTCAGCATCCCAAGTCCCTCGAAATAAAAGAAACCCTAATCTTGGTTTCCCTAATCCAATGCAACACAGCCGCGCTAGTCTCTTAGAATACTATCGCGGCCGCTAGCTCCACCGTCGCCGCCCATGGCCACCATTGCGAAACCAACTACAAACCTAGCGTTGTCGCTCTCCAATAATGTCGCCTCTAGCCCACATCATGTTTACCTTCCATCTCACACTAACGCTATATTTGGTTAGAATATTTATAAAAAAATAAAAATAAAATTGAAATGTAAATAAAATATCTATTTCATTTAATTTTACATAACTTTCCCTCCTTTTTTTTTTTCAAATTTATTTTTAAATTTTCTAATCAAACAAAGCGTAACGGGCAACAAACACGGAAGTGATGGAATCATCAACTTTTGTTGAGAAACCCTCATCGTCTCGTCGTTCAGAGAGTGAGTTGTCGACATCATCACTAGTCGTATCAATAATACTTGGTTGAAGGATTGATTTGGCACTCCGCCAAACACCGCTGCAATCCTTGTCAATCTCTGATTTCGTCGTACCATCAACGGATCGTTTGTTCTGTGAAAAGGAATTTTTATGCTATTGTTGTTGGGTTTGTTTTTAAATCTCATCTTTTGTAGCTCAAATTCTTGACTCTTGATTTTTGGATTTGATGGTTTGGGGGATTGAATGAAGATAAGACGGTGGTGGACTGATCGATGCCTGTGGCTATGGGCAGTAAGTTAAGTTGGTCAAAAAGGAGCAAGAGATTATTTTATTACATCTAGGGGTATTTTTGTCTTCTTATATATCAGCTTAACAGATTTATGTAATGTTTGGTTTAGTTTTTAAATTAATATTTAAATCAAAAAATATGTTTGATTAATAAATTTTTAAATTTTCTCTGTCTCTCTCTTCTCTTGTTGGTTTTTTTATTTTATTTTTATTTTTTATTTTTTTATTATTAGTATATAAATTAATCATTTTTTTCTCTCTTCTCGCTTCTTTTTTTTTTTTTATATTCTAAGCATCAATTTATTAAATTTTTTTTCACACCCATCTATTTAATTATAAAAAAAATACAAATAATTATTTTAAAATTTATAAAAAAATATATTTTTAATTTTTTAAATTCTTTTTAATAACTTATCTTTTAAAATTCTTTTCAAAAATTAAATTAGATGAAAGCAAAAAGGGAAAAATTATTTGGTGAGGTAGGCCACCACGAGACCATGCCTGATCAATGCAAATCATGCACTGTAAAATCATAGGTTCTATCAATCACAATACACTTACACACCACATGGCTTTACCCGAGACGGCCAAATAATAGTGTCCCATGAATAATTGTAATTTTGATAATATGCAGGGAGTTGTAGTTATAAAAATATTTGGGTTCTTTTGAAAAAATAGTAAAAAATTATTTTTGACTCTTAACTTATTTTGAATTATAACATCTCTCTATTCTTTTACATATTTTTTTTAAAAAAAAATTAAAAAATTAATTTTTAATCAACTTTACAAAAACACCTTTATATGCATAAACTTTGTTTGTCAGTCCCATGAGAGCACCTGACAAAGCACTCAATTGGTTAGAACTCAATTTTGCTTAGATACGCTTTTGATATAAATTTGCTTACATAAGCTTTTGAAATAAATTTGGGTTACACTTTTTTATTTTTTTGGTCTTTTTGCGGGTACAATTTGTCTGAGGTATGGCATTAGTGTATTGCAAACATGAGCAAGGATCCCCTCCTTGCATCATTTCTTACTTGCAGGGTCATTGGGTCCACTTTTAGGCCTAATTTTAATAATCCAAACTGTTTATATTTTAAGATTTGTTCAGTATATCATACTTGTAAAAAATCAAGTTGATCGGATATCAAAATGCATGTGTTCGGAAAAATTGAACTAAAAATTATTATTTTTTTTTTTAAAATTTAATAAACAGTTCTTCGAACACATACTTTCTGATATCTGATCAACTTGATTTTTTACAGGTATGATATACTGAACAAATTTTAAAATATGAACGGTTCAGATTATCAAAATTGGACATAAAAATGGGCCCAATGGCCATACAAGAAAGAAGTGCAAGAAGAGAATCTTGACTCTGCATACATGTGTTTTTGTTTTTGCTTTTCCAATTGTCGAAAGTGTCTTTGGAATAATATTATTGGGCCTATATCTGATGAGTGATGGGTGATGAATGCAGGTAAGAATTCATTCATGTGGGTTGGGCCTGTGCCCAGAGTGAACATAATGGAGCCAGAGCTAATTAAAGAGATTTTGAGTAAGAATGATGTTTTTAAAAAGGCAAAACCAAACCCACTTGCCAGGCTTCTCATTGGAGGCATTGCTTTCTATGAGGATGAGCAATGGGCCAAGCATAGAAAGATTCTCAACCCTGCTTTCCATGTGGAGAAGTTGAAGGTAAAATATACTCTTCATCCTCTTTAACTTTCAGTTAAATTTTATTTTTAACAATTAAGTTCTACAATTTTAGTTCATGTTGGCTTCGCCACCTTATAAAATAAAATTTGAATGAAAGTTAAAATATGAAGGGTTAAAATAAAATTTCAATAAAAGTTGGAGGTGAAATTTTTTTCTTTTTCTTTAATGCCTCTAAAAGGTGCTCACTTGACCCTCATATAAGCACTATCCATACAAATTTGTAATTGTGAGCAATTCGAGCTTAGCTTCAGTTTGGGTTGGACTTCAGCAGACAAGGTCGGATAACTCTCAGTATATCTTAAGTTGGGTCTCAACAACTCCTCAACCCAACCAAACTTGCTCTGCTCGAACTACAACTCCAATTGGGCAGTTGTTTCTTTAGATTGACAAATGAAGAACTCAATTTCATGGCAGCAAGGATTGAAAACAGTTGGATTTGTATTTTTTTGTGTTTCTTGCAGAACATGTTGCCTGCAATGTATCTGTGTTGTAGCCAGATGATGAGCAAATGGGAAATGTTGCTCTCAAAAAAGAGTTCATGTGATCTAGATGTGCAGCCCTATCTTGACAATCTGACAGGTGATGTGATTTCTCGAACAGCATTTGGGAGTAGCTATGAAGAAGGTAGAACTTTATTCGAACTTCAAAAAGAACAAGCTGAGCTTACTCGCCAAATTGTGCAATCAGTTTACATTCCAGGATGGAGGTAAATCTAAGATAAAAAGTGACTTGTGCTCTACTAGTTTTTCAATTTGTGTGCACAAGGTATTAATATTAAGTTAGTTAGTTGGCATTCAAGCTAATTGCCTTGTAAGTTGAAAGCATGTATGATTTCCATATATGAGAAAAAGATACTTATCAATTGGATCAAGTTGAGACAAAATTATAAATTCACAAATTGAAATTATAGGAATCAAAATGACATCACTGCCAAAATATAGGGTCTATTAGTGTAATTTTTCAAAATACGAACCATATTGTCTTTCTTTCTTTCTTTCTTTCTTTATTTTGGCATTTTCTATAATTGTTCATTAAGTTGCAGATTTCTACCTACAAAGATAAACAAGAGAATGAAAGAAATCAACAATGAACTGGTAGCCATCATGAGTGAAATGATCATCAAAAGAGAAAGATCCATGAAGTTGGGAGTAGCCGGCCAAGACGATGACCTGTTGAGTTTGCTACTGACATCAAATATGAGAGAAATACAAGAACATGGAAACAACAAAGACATGGGAATGAGTTTTGAAGAGGTGATTGAAGATTGCAAGGCATTTTATTTTGCTGGGCAAGAGAGCACCTCCAATTTCCTATTGTGGACTATGGTTTTGTTGAGCATTCACCCAGAGTGGCAAGTCCGTGCAAGAGAAGAGGTTTGGAAAGCTTTCCGAAACAACAAACCAGACTTCGATGGGTTAAACCACCTTAAAATTGTAAGTTCTCGATATAAATACAAACAAATTGTTAGTTTTCAACACGTCTTGTAATTTTGTAGAATTTTGTCATCGTCAGGTAACAATGATTATGAACGAGGTTCTAAGGTTGTACCCTCCAGCAGCCACTGTCATCCGAACCATAAACAAAGACACAAAACTAGGAAACATGACTCTGCCACTGGGAATCGAGTTACTGCTGCCAATAATCCTCGTTCACAGTGACCATGATATTTGGGGTAAAGATGCAACAAAGTTCAAACCCGAGAGATTTTCACAAGGCATAGCAAATGCGACAAAGAATCAACAAGTCTCATATTTGCCATTTAGTTGGGGTCCCAGAATATGCATTGCGAACAACTTTGCACTAATTGAGGCTAAACTTGCTTTAGTTATGATTCTTCAACGCTTCTCATTTAAGCTTTCTCCATCTTACACTCATGCCCCTACATATGCAGTGAACCTCCGACCCCAGCATGGAGCTCACTTGACTTTGTCCAAAATTTAATTTGTGTCTCATTTCATAAATAAGTTTCGCAGTTAATTTTTTTTTTTTTAATAACATATCTATGACCAATGCGTCTAGAAAAAATATTTCAGAAAAATGTTCAGAATTTGAATTTAAATTATAGATTTGAAATTTGTGTGGTGCAGGTTGCACACACTCACGAAGAATCTGATTCTTTACAAATGTCAAATTCTGAATATTTTTTTGATTTGATTTGATTTTTCTTGTGTGTATTATGTAATACTACTGATAACATATTGGGTGTGTTTGTACATGACAATCCAAGGGTTTGTGACCTTTTGTGATTCTGTTTAAGAACTCTGTAAGAACATATATTAATGACATGAAAACTGGCATAGGAATGCCCAACGATCAAAGGCTTGAATGGGTTTAGTAATTTTTTTAACAGGTTTTATTTTTTTGAACACCTTAACATGTCTTTTATTTTACGGTTGTGATACAAAAAAATACTCAAAATTTTACCTAGAATTGAAATATGTGAATAAAATTTATTATGCCTAACTAACATCACACTAACTTCAAATTTAAGCACTATACTTTCATGGTAAAATTTTTGTCTAGTTTTCATGGTACATAAAATTATTGTTTGTTTTATAGTGAAAAATGCTATATATACCGAGAATTTGTACTCAATTGAATCACTTAAATTGTAGGCTTCTTATAAATGATAACACCACATTTAATTATGTGGTCCCATTGAGACATTATCTAACAAAAACTTTTTTTAGTATGTAACTTTGTTGTTTTAATTATAGAATAGTAACAACACTAAATTAACAATGGTGAAAATTTTGTATGACTGTCCCGTTTTTATGTTTCAAGTCTATATGAACAAACACCTTTATCTAAATTAAATTGTACTATGGCAAACAAATAACAATTTTAAAAGATGAGTACTGTTAGGAATCTCAAATATTTTACTAACATTTTTATTAAATGTTTCGCATGGGACCTACATAGTGTGGGTTCTACACTCATGTGAGATATTTAGTAGAAATATTGATAAAATATTTAGAATCCCTAATATTTTCCTTAAAAAATTCATCTCTATCACCCTATCTATCCCTCTTGCTCTCAGGGCTGGAGCTGAGGTAAGGCCACTAAGGCGGTCGCATCGGGCCCCCAATTTTGAACAAAATTTAGGGCCCCCAATTAGGGGAGTGTATCATGTCGTTTTATTTTATGATTACTTTAATATTAGTTCAATTAATTTATTTTCATGTTGTTATATGGTGTTATTTTGATTTCTGTCCGATTGATATTTAATGTGAAATTTTTTAATTTTAATTAAAATTACCTTAGCAAGTGTATGAAGAGATTAAATTTTTTCTCATAGGTTGAATTTTATAAAATTTATTTCTACTACATGAAATTATTTATAGAATGTTTGATTTTAATTCAATTGCATTTTTCTAATTAAAAAAATTGTACTTTATTACTATATATTTTTTATTAGATTGACTCTAAAATAGGTAATAAAAAAATACATATCTTAAATGAAAAAAAGATATTAGCTTTAATTATTATTTTACATACTTTTTTATTCAGTTAGATGGAGTTAAATAAAAGATTAAAAAAATGTTATGGTATCCCTTAGTGAACATTAAAATATATAATTAATAATTTATATTATTGAGTCGTGTCATATTTAGATGCATGTTAAAAAATAATCAACCCTAACTTACTAATTTTATATATTGCTTGATTTGTGTCGAATATTCTCATCTTTACCCCCAATTAATTTTAGTTCTTATAGCATTGGTAAGCTAAAAAAAAAAAAATTCCATTCAACTAATTAAAGTTCAACTATTATATATATATATATATATATATTTGTTATCTAAATTTTGTTAAATTGTAATGTAATAGAAATAAATTTTTATCCTTTTTGTTTTATCCAAATAATTTTTTTTAAAACTAATGATATATGAAGGGCCAAATTTAAAAAATTCGCCTTAGGCCCCTAATAACTCAAGGTCGACCCTGCTTGCTCTCACATATACATATATAAGCATTCATATTCTTCTTCACGGAAAAATCCAAAGAAGTAATCCGAACATGAATGTAAAGAATAAAAATGAACAGACTAATTAAGATTTAAAAAATGAACAGATTAATGTTGAAGTAATATTTAATTGTTTTAATCAAAATGTTCATTTCATAAATCTAGATATGAGTGAGACAAAAATATTTGTTGTCACACGTATTATGACAACCACCAGCACACCAACCTAACTTACTGTGATGTGAAGACTTATTGAAGGCTTATTTCATTAATTTGAATATCTGATTATATGGATACATTTATACAAATACAAATATCCACCAGACTAATAATATCTGTAACTAACTAACTACTTAATGTAACTAACTAACTAACTAACAAACTTTATTTCTTAGTTGGTTTTAGCTGATTAGCTAATGACAGCAGCTCCTGTTGTGGCTCTGCTGGCAGCAGCTTGTGGCTCTACTGGCAGCAGCTCTTGTTTGTGGCTTTTTAGTCTCTGTAGTTGGCTGCTCTGTAGGTGATATATTATCAGTCCCCTACAAGCTGATGGAAGAGGAAGTGACCAACAACTTGGTCTTGAGAAACTGAAATCTGGAACTGGATAAAGGTTTGGTAAAAATGTCAGCGATTTGATCCATAGAAGGAACATACTGCAGAACAACTTTCTTGGCTACAACCTTTTCGCGAATAAGGCAGTAGCATCTGTAACCAACTTAACTCTGCGGTAGCATGAGCTAATGCTCGATATTCAGCCTCAGTGCTGGATCGAGAGACTGTTGGCTGTTTCTTAGCAGACCAAGAAACAAGATTAGAACCAAGATAAATGCAGTAGCCAGATGTAGACCGTCTATCCAAATGATCCCCACCCCAATTAGAATTAGAAAAGCTTGCAGGTCAAAAGAACTAGGAGAAAAGGTGAGGCCATGAGAGAGGGAACCTTTAACAAATCTGAGAATACGTTTAACAAAGGCAAAATGGCCATTAGTGGGTGCATGCATTAGATGGAGTTAAATCTGAGAATATGTTAACTGCTAAAGACAGATCAGGACGTGTGATAGTTAAATACTGTAGGGCACCAACAAGACTTCTGTATAACTGGGGCTGTGTAAAAGGCAGAGAAGAAGCAGGAGTGACAGAAGGCTTGACTGATATAGGTGAGTTGCAGGGCTTACAAGTGGTCATGCCAGCCTTGAGGAGAATTTCAGAAGCATATTTTTGCTAGGACATGAAGTAATTAGCTCCCACAGATTGAATAGAAACACTGAGAAAGTAAGAAATGTTGCCTAATTCCTTCATTGCAAAGGCAGTATGCATTTGACCAATTAGTTCTTGAAGAAGAAGAGAACTACTACCAGTCAGGAGAATGACATCAACATAGACCAAGAGAATGAGAATATCAGTGGAGGTCTTTTTGATGAATAAAGAGTTGTCACAGTAACTATTAACAAAGCCTTGAGTGATCAAAAACTTGGAGAAGGTTGAATACCAAGCTCGGGGTGCTTGCTTTAGACCATAAAGAGCTTTCCGAAGTCTACAAACATGATGAGGACGAGTGACACTAGTAAAACCAGGAGGCTGGAGCATATAAACTTCTTTATCCAAGGTACCATGAAGAAAAACATTGCATATGTCCAGCTGTTTTAAGGGCCAATGATAATGCAAGGCAATGTAAAGAAAAATTCTGATCGTAGGTTTTTTAGCCATGGGACTAAAAGTCTCAATATAGTCAACACCTTCTTGTTGTAAAAATCCTTTGGCCACCAACCTGGCTTTATAGCAGGCAATAGTCCCATCAGAATTTCTTTTGATTCGGAAAACCCATTTGCAGCCAATGGCGGTTTTAGCTGAAGGTAGAGGCACAAGAGACCAAGTACCTTGATCAAGAAGAGCATGATATTCATCAAGCATTGCAGCATACCAGACTAGAGAAGTAAGAGCTTGTTGATAAGTGGAAGGTTCTATATCAGTGAATGAAGAAGAAGAGGCCACAAGACAACTTGTTTTGGACCGAGTAATCACAGGATAAACATTGGCAGAAGAGCTGGGAGGAAAAGAGGAAGAAGGTACAGATGGTAAGTCTATAAAAATAGAGTTAATAGGAATAGGAACAAGAGAGGAAGGATTTGGATTGGTAGGCTGAAGAGGCTGAGATGAACCCGTAGGAGACTTGGATAGAGGAGCAGCAACAACAGACAAAGGAGCAACAGCAGTAGCAGTAGCAGGAGTAGTGGGCACAGCAGAAGATACAGAAAGAGAGGAAAGCCGAGATGTAGGACAAGGAAGAGGAGTATGAGGATCACCAGATCTAAAAGGAGAGCTAGAGGACCAAAAGAAGGACTGTAAGTTTGAAACAGAAGAAGACTTAGAAGGAGGTTGAGCAGTGGTAAAAGGAAAGAGATCCTCATTAAACAAAACATGTCTAGAAATATGAATTTTCCCTGTAGCAAGATCAAGACATCTGTATCCTTTAAAAGAGGAATGATAACCAAGGAAAACACAAACCGTAGATCTAGATTGAAGCTTGTTAGAAGTGTAGGGCCGAAGCCAAGGAAAGCATTGACATCCAAACACCTTAAAAGAGGAATAAGCAGGAGAAGAATGAAATAAAATTTCATAAGGAGACTTATTAGAAAGCTTAAAGCTAGGCATCTTATTAATGAGATAGGTAGCTGTGGACACTGCATCAAACCAATACTGTAAAAGTACAGAAGAATGATGTAACAAAGCAATGGTTGTTTCAATGATGTGCCTGTGTTTGCGCTCAGAAACTCCATTTTGTGGAGGTGTATAAGGACAAGACATTTGATGAAGTATACCATGAGCTTTTAAAAATTGAGTCATTGAAGTATTAACAAATTCAGTGCCTCTATCAGTTCGTAGAACTTGCAGTTTGGTGGAAAATTGAGTTTCAACAAAAACCTTAAATTCCAAAAATTTTAAAAACACTTCACTCTTGTAACACAACGGATAAATCCATGTAAACCTGCTAAAATCATCAACAAAAAGTACATAGTACTTATATGGAGACATAGAAGAAAAAGGACCCCACACATCACTATGAATGTGAGATAATGGTTTGTTTACAGTAGAATTAGAAAGCATAAAAGGAAGTCTATGGCTCTTAGCCACACAACAATGAACACACGAAGACAAAGGAGCCAAGGTTTTATTAGCAATATCAGGCAAGTGACTTTGCATATGTACAAATTTCAACTGAGATGGATGACCCAATCTATTATGCCAGACTTCAACAGAAACAGCTCCAGTAGTGGAAGTATGAAGAACATGAGATGAAGAAGGAGGAGAAGAGGTAGTAGGAAAATGATATAAACCATGAGCACTAAAGCCCTGGTG